CTTTTCTTGTCCTTCTCCTTTTCATCAACTTTTCAACCTTTTTCAAAGATATTAATAATAAATAAAATATTAATTCACAACATCAAATAGTGTCTTATTAGATTATGGATAACTGTATTAAACTATTGTTTACTACAATGAAATGTAATTAAATTTAATTTAATTTACTATTTTATCGTAGGAAAATTGAGTTCAAAATTATAGTAGATTATAGTTAAACCAAATAAAATTAAGAATAATGATCAATTTTGTTAAATTTTATAATATAATTTTATAGTAAATTATTATTTCGCCATAATAATTTACTACATAATTTAATTACAATAGTATAATTTAAAATATTAGTTTTATTTTATATTTTAAATCCTTCTCAGATAAATAACTAGTATAGTTAATAAAATTAAATTGAGATAAAACTTTCAAGATTCAGTAATTAAAAGAAATTTTTAAATTGCTGTAATTTTCAATGTTCAATAGAATTCATTTTGAACATTAATAGCAGTTTTATGTAATACTTTCCGATGCACAACTTATTTGAATTTTTATTTCATAAATATTCATACATACTCGATAGGTCCAATTTGAAAAAGAAACGCTACATACTAATTAAAAAGCTGGCCACTGAAACACAAAGTGATAATACAATGTAAATTTCTGGTTCGATTTATAGGTTCGATAAATGTATTTTATTGGAAGTAGGGTAGATAAATGTATAATAACTGATCGAAGTCAGATCGCGTTCAGGCTGATCGTTAATATTAATGCAATATCTCTGTTCTGTGATTTGATAGGCAATAAAAGCATCTGCTCGGACAATTTCACCTGTCTATCGACGAAACGAACATATTGTACCGTTTCGCGTAAAAATATTATCTTTTCTCGATAAAGGATAACGCGAAACTTATTAAATCCGCAGATTTTAAATTTTAATGTATATTTCCTATAGATATTGCAATTTGAAAGTCTTAGGATACTCCTTGCTTTTAATATGTAATATTTATCATTCTTTAAATTGCGTATATATTTTACAAAATATCTAATTTCTCTAATTTTGTAATATACAGATCTTATATTTCCATCGAAATAAAATTATTTTGAGAATAAATATTCATTCAATGAATAGAATCTAGATTTTTGAAATTTACAACATGATGTTTCTCCATGGATGTGAAAATGACGATATACACGATTACCTAACTTTGTAAAATATTCATAAATATTTGGTTATTTAATAAAAGTTTGCAGAGAATGCAGACAACTGTGTAAAAAGACGTCGTGTCGTTTTGTACTTGACAAAACTTAATTAACAATTTAATCAAACGCTCCTTTGCTCCCGACCGATGTTTGCGAAATTATTCAAACAGAATTTATTAATTTCGGCTCGTTCTAATAAAAGAGAATGTGAAACACGGACTGAGGACTTCGAAACGATGAAACAACAATGAAAAATATTCGTGGTACAATACTGTCGTTTCTTTGGTAGAAGAAGTTATTGTTCACGACGAAGTTAACGAGAACGATGCACAGAGCGGACAGTTGCAACGAAACTCTGTTGCTCGATATTCAATACATGCTCGCGAACGCGTGCATTGTTGCGGATAACCAAAAGAATATCTGTCATTATTGGACCGTGAACATTTATGCAAATTCATATTTTTACGTACGTAATTAAAGTACAGATTTATTTCTTTTTCCATCAAACATTATAACGAGTCCAGTACGTTCTACATTTTCTTATTTTTGTACGATGTACGTACGTGAGACTGTAAATTTTCATTCGATATTTTTTCTGATCACAATTAAGAATACATATATATCATAATAAATGAAATTATTATAATTATAACGATTAGTGCAACATAATTTCTAATTATTATAAATATATTATGATTATTATATTTGCAATTGTCATAATGAAATTATTTATAATCATATAGATGAAATTTGAAGATGGAGATGATGAAAGTATTTCGAGATCAAAGCTAATTATCTATTATATTAATAAACAATACATCGTATGTTAACAAATAACCAATACATAGCGAATTTAACATTTATAAAATATTTATTGCAAGTGTGGTAATGACTTTAGTTTAAATAAAAAAATTAGTACGCAATGATAATCTGATTGAACATTGAGGTTTATTAGCATTTTCAGATTAATATTTGTAAGAACTTTAGAAACGCAAAAATGAATAGAGAGCACTTGATATGTAAAAATACATAAAATACTCAAAGT